TCTGAAAAGGATCTTATTTCTCTTTTGCTTATGAAGCTTAGTTTGGCTGAATATGAAATTCTGGGTTGAAAATTCTTTTCTATAAGAATGTTGAATATTGGCCCCCAATCTCTTCTGGCTTGCAAGGTTTCCGCTGAAAAGTCTGCTGTTATTCTGATGGGCTTCCCTTTTAGGTGACCTGGCCTTTCCATCTGACTGCCTTAACATATTTTTTTACTTTCAGTTTGATCTTGGTGAATCTGATGATTATGTGTCTTGGGGCTGAGTTTCTCGTAGAGTATCTTACTGGGGTTCTCTGGATTTCCTGAATTTGAATGTTGGTCTGTCTTGTTAGGTTGAGGAAGTTCTCCTGGATGATATCCTGAAGTCTGTTTTCCAACTTGGTTCTGTTCTCCCTGTCTCTTTCAGGTACCTTAATCAGTTGTAGGTTCAGTCTTTTTATATAATCTCATATTTCTCAGAGGTTTTGTTAGTTCCTTTTCCTTCTTTTTAGTCTGTTCTTGCCTGAATGTCTTCTTCAGAAAGATAGTCTTCAAGCTCTGCTATTTTTTCCTCCTCTTGGTCTATTCTGCTATTGATACTTGTGATTGCATTGTGAATTTCTTGTGTTGGATTTTTCACCTCCATCAGTTCAGTTATGATCCTTTATAAACTGGCTATTCTGTTTATCTGCTCCTGTATTGTTTTATCGTGATAGTTAGCTTCTTTGCATTGGGTTAGAACTTTCTCCTTTAGCACAACAAAGTTTGTTATTACCCACTTCTGAAGACTACTTCTGTCATTTCAGTCATCTCTGCCTCAGCCCAGTTCTGTGCCCTTGCTGCGAGATGTTGGGTTCATTTGGAGGAGCAGAGACATTCTGGCTTTTTGAGTTTTCAGTGTTTTTGCATTGATTTTTCTTATCTTTGTGGGCTATCTACCTTTGATCTTTGAGGTTGCTGACCTTCGAATGGGGTTTTTGTGGGGCCTCTTTTTGTTGATGTTGTTGTTGCTTTCTGTTTATTTTTCCTTTTAACTGTCAGGCCACTCTTTCACAGGGCTGCTGCAGTTTGCTGGGGGTTCACTCCAGACCCTAGTTGCCTCACTGTCTCCTGCACCTGGAGGTATCACCAGTGAAGGCTAGGAAACAGCAAAGATGACAGCCTGCTTCTTCCTCTATGAGCTCCATCCCAGGAGGGCACTGACCTTATACCAGCCCATATACTCCAGATTGTTTCTGATGGAGCAGGATTGTAGGTTGTCTTGCCTGGCTAGGCAGTATTTTTGTATGTTTGGAATCTGTATCATGTTTCCTGCAGCATGATGCTGTTGGCTAGTCTCTCTGGTATAGCACCTCCGTGGCCAGAATGAAGAGCAACCCCAAAGAATCATGTGCTCATCACTGTGAGCCCCACCACTGTTTTTCATCTCCAACTGACCCCAGATGGCTTAACCCTACCAGCACTCCCAGTGATTCCTGTGTGATGAGACAGCAGTGAGCCTTTCACAAATGGTCCAAGAATGGTGGGGAAGTTAAATGTCTGCCTCTAATTCACCCTTACCATACCAGAAACCATACGCCCAGAGTAACTCTGCATGCAGTGCCACACCAGCCTGGGGCTATTCCCAATACAGTATATTCCCAATATAGTATAGTAAGTCACCACAGCCTCTGCCAGCTATATGCAGCAACTGATCTAGCAATTCCCATCCCATTTTTCCTCATCAACACTAACTCTGTTCTCAGACTCAAGCCTAACGGCTACGGGGGAAATGGCACCAAGTCTTGGCTGCTGCTTTAGGATATTTAAAAAATCATTAGTGACATCCTTCCTACCTCTCTGGATGTTGTTCCTTAGCTGGGGCCACAACTGAATCTTTAGCCAGCCATTATAGTCTTGTTGCTTCTGTGTTACAGGACATGTGATAAGTAAATCTTGTAGTAATGAACCCATTTCTATAAATACTAGGCCACAAGATGTGACCCTGGTCAGAAACAATATTGTGTGGTGATGCAGAAGATATTCTTCAAGCACAAGAATGTGGTGCTTTTGAATCACTGTAGACAGGCAAGGAAAATCCATACCTGGGATACAGGAGGACAAATCATTGCTCTTCCAATGAATGAACAGTCCACTGTAATAAACCCATCTCCAGTTGACTGGCTAATCCAACAGGGGCATAGTGCTATGGTGGAGGCTCATCACTGGCTTCTGTTGATGGCAGGTAGAGTGCCCTAGATATATAGAAAGACAGATCAGTTTCAGAGGATAATTTACAGTCATTATCTATCTTTTGCATGAGGCAAACAAACAAGTTAAATGATTATGTGACGTGCATCATTACTCCTACAATTTCAAACTTTAATGGTGACGCTAATATATGCAGTATGCAATTCCCTAAGGGATGCCATATTACTCTTGATTTATCATCTGGGAGTGGTTCCAGGCACTTCCTCTTGGCCCTCTCTGTCAATAATATGTCTCACTCCATTGGTCAGCAGACAATACGTGCTAGAATTTCTATTCCAGGCATAATTCTGGGATTTGGAAAATAATAGTAGGACATATCTGAAGTTCTTTTGGATGTACTGTTAGATGAACTTGAAACAAGTTTCTTCTGACTATTTGACCTCCATAAGGCTGCACTTAGACCAGTAGATAAGGTGGTATTCAGTTTTTCAGGGTAACTTTAGTTCTGACTCAGAATCCAATAAGCCCCAGAAGTCCTAGCTATTTTCTTTTCCTGCATGCACAGTTATTCTAGTGAATAGCTACAGGTCCCTCTGTGGAAGACTTGGAGGAATAGTCACAGTTTCATCTGTATGGCAGGTTCCTTCTTTAAAGGTACTCTCTCAGTTGAGAATCCCTGAGGTTGTGAATTGATTTAGGTCTGAGAATCTGCATCACAGCAACTCATGTTAAGTTTTTGCCACCAGACGTAGAATGTCAAGAAAACCTTCAGTATAATGCTCATATATTTTATTTTTAGGGTCCCTGAAATAATTATCATAATCCCTGTAGGTCAAAACAGCTTTGATAATATGTAAGCCCCTTTAGCTTATGGTGCTAATTGCACCCACCTTGTCTCAGTTAAGCCGTGCCACATGGCCTGTAACACTCCTGGTCCCAGTGTTCCTATTGCGGATGGGCGTGGTGGCTTATGCCTGTAATCCCAGCACTTTGGGAGGCTGAGGCATGTGGATCACTTGAGGGTCAGGAGTTTGAGACCAGCCTGGGCAACATGGCGAAATCCTGTCTCTGCTAAAAATACAAAAATTAGCCAGGCATAGTGGTAGGTGCCTGTAATCTCAGCTATTTGAGAGGCTGAGGCAGGAGAATCACTTGAACCCAGGAGGTGGAGGTTGTAGTGAGCCAAGATCATGCCATTGCACTCCAAGCTAGGCAACAAGAGTGAAACTCCAAGATCCATTGCATTATGTGCTACTGTCATCTCCAGTCTACAAAACAACAACCAGCAGAGATTTTTGATGATATTGGTGTGTCTTTCAGCAAAGCATTTCCAAGTATCTTGAAGGAAATATCCTCCCAGCTCTCTTTGAATGTTTGATCAAGGGTAGTTACCCAACAGGTTTCACACAGTAGATTCATTCAATATTACCATATTCCTGAAACTCAGTACTTTTTCACCATACAGTATGCCAGGAAAGCGCCATTATTTTGACCTTACTGACAGTAGGCTCCCGTTAAGTCTAACTTCAGTTAACATGACTCCTGCTTTTACTTGGCACATTAAATACAAAATCCCAGGTGAGTCATGAATTACAATAAATTTGTTCCACTACAGCCTTCTATTTCATACTGTCTGATCAATCCCTTTCAAAGTATAAATTATCCCCTTCCAGAGCAGTACATGGATACTTCTCCTTCAAGACCATGTTGAGAATTAATTCTTGATTTGGACCTAGAGGCAATGTGGGGTAGTGAGACTAATGTTCCAGCTATCGTCATTAAAACTTTTTTTTTTTTTTTTTTTTTTTTTTTTTTAAATGCAGGAGCTCTCTCATTGTCTGGAGAGGGCTTCCTCTGCTGGCAAATGAAGTAAAGAGATGTTATTCCAATTGTTCACCTCTCAAGTTTCAGGTTCTAATGCTTTTCCCACCAAATCTGGTGGGTTCCAGCTTGGTCCTCAGCCTTGTCAATCCATGACTACACATGAGTTACTTCATTGCTGCTGCAGAGGCTTTCTGATTCCCCGTTTGCATTTTCCATTGCTCATTTGCAGTATTCCCTTTCTATTCTTCATTATGTGCATCCTTTAGGGCTCTTATAAGAAATTAGTTGACCCCAAAATCTTTATTATCCCTATTGTCACCATAACAATTAAATGTCTTTATCTTCCTCCTCCTGCATCATATCCTATGCCAGCTTTGGTAATAATTTGAGAAATCATGATGTCATTTGATACCATGAATTACCAATGCCCCATTTCTTTTTCGCAAGGAAGTTATCTGTGTTACATATATGAACAACCTAATCCAATAGTGCCACCTGAAGGATCTGTTTTCTGTGGCTTCTTTTCATACCAGTCACTGTGTCAATGAGGTTCCTAGTAGGCAGCAGGGTGAGCACTTAAATTGGGCAATTTGGTTGATGGCCATTTCATGAACTGGGGGTTGGGGGAGATTATATGGATTATCCAAAATGAGTATTAGAGCTATTGTAAGAAGTTAGGTAAGTTGAAGATTCTGGTCCATGTAACCAACAGTGTAATGTATATTTTCTTTATCAAAACAATTCTTTTGTATATTGATAGTAACTACCTAAGAATTATGTTAGGTGTCCAATTGTTAAATTATCACAAAGGTTGGCATACACTCAATATGCTTCTATCTCAGTAAAACTTCATAAGAAGAGCTTCAGCTTCTCACCTGTTCAAAGATCCATATCTCCCTAATTCTCTTTCATTTGATACAATAAAATATTCATAATCAGAAAATTATTTTTTACCACCCTTTAGAGAATTATCTTTCCTTAGAATTTTATTTGTTGTTATTATAGTACCCCAAGGAGATAACTCTGGAGGCATTTTCAGTTATTGTCACCCAGATGCTGGCACTCAGTCTGGGAATATCATATGATGATCCAAAGAAATGTCGATGTTCAGAATCCATCTGCATAATGAATCCAGAAGCTTTGTAAGTTTTAACAAAATATTTATTGCTTATGTTTATTTCATTTTAAATATTCAGAGTGTGAAAATTTACTATTTACTTAAAGCATAAATTAGCTATAAATGGGCCAAGTTCACTACAAAGTATAAACATGTAATTTTAAATGTAAAAGTAGTATTAAGTGTAAATTAAAGGCAATCAGGATAACAAATCCAATCTGCAAGCTATTTTAGCAAAAGAATATGAAAGCACTTAGTAAGGATCTTTAAAAATATTTCAGCAGAACATAATAAGTGGCCTTTGTTTTAGACGAGGTATTTTTGGTTTTGCTTTTAGAATAGGCTGATTTTATGGAAAAAAAAAACAAACCAAAAAACCCTAACATCCAAAAGAGTAAGAAGTCCTAGTTGGAGACAAATATATAAATATATATATATGTTTATATATATATTTGTGTGACTTTGAATAAATTACTTGACTTTGCCTAGGTTTACTTTTCTCATCTTTAAATGGGAATAATTATGCCTATTCTTTTATTTCACAGGGTGATATAAGAATAAAAGAAAAAAAGTGAAATAGGAAAGGGTTTTCTAAACTGTAGAATTCTATAAGTATGTGATTGATTAGCTACAGTGATTTCTAAACTTACTAATCTTCCTCAAATGGTATATCAGACAGGAACTACAGCAGGTGTCATTAGCATTTTGTAGTTTTTCTGTTTGTAGATATGGCCTATGATGTGGGTAACCCATTCATTACTGAAGAACAGTCAAAGGTCAAAAGTGAAAATAAGACATTAAATTTTGAAAACATATTATTTTTATGGGTACTCCTAAGCACCTCTTAAGGGTTAATTTTTATATTTTAAAAATAACCCAAACTCAACATATATACCCATAAATATAGCCCAAACTCAACATATTTCATATATATATACATACATGCAATTATATTACAAATTAGCTCTAAAAGGAATGTGTGTATATATTTATATCTACACACCCAAACACACATACTCACACATATCTATGTATGTATATATATAATTGATATGCATATGTCCATATAGATTGATAAATGAAATCTATCTATCTATCTATCTATCCATTCATCTATCACAACAATATGAGAATAATTATTTTGGGCTCATTGTTCATATGGCCAGCTATTTTCCAGTATGCTAGGACAATATGTTTTGTGTAGGTCACCCAGAGCCTAGGATTAATGATAATAAGATGAACAAATATTTACATTGTACTTACTATGTTCTAGAGACCATTCCAAGCACTTTACATATATTAACTTATTGATTCTCACAATATCTCTACAGGACAGTTCCCATTATTCCCATTTTTACAGATGAGAAGCTAAGTTATAAAAAGGATAATTACTCGTGGTCAGATGGCTAGTTTGTGGCAGACTTGGGTTTTGAGCCTGTATTAGTAAACCTTTAAGTTCATGTGGTATTTTATGTTTAAAATGCTTTCATATATAATCTCCAATTTCCTACAAATCTCTTATGTATGAGTAGAGTATTATATTAATTTTTACAAAATCTAATAATAGCACACTTGTATAAATGTTTTGCATATCCACAGTACATCTCACACATTATTCTATGTTAATTCTCAAAGAAAGCATGTAATTAATTACATGCTTTCAATTTAATGTGTTTATTAAAAAGCCTTGGAGTATAAGTAGCCAAAGTGATCTACTTTTACTAGATACACAGTTAATTAATAGACACACTTTAGCAGATGTCAGTAATACCAGCAATGATTTATTGGGTACCTATTAAAAGTCAGAAAATTGAATTAGATACTTCACTTATTTAATTATACTTAATTCTCACAGCCTCCCCTATCTATGAGGTAGACAGGCATTATCCCTGTTATGTAGATGAAACTACTAAGACTTAGATAATTTAATCACTTTGCCTAACTAAGTCCTCATAAGTCATAGGGTTGGTATTAGTCAACAAGTTTATCTAATTTCAAAGCCTTGTTTCATTCTATAGTCTACACTTCCTTCATATAGAAGACTTAATATATTGGCATTTGCTTAAACTAAGTAGCAAGAAAATATTAGTAGTATGTATTTGTACTAAATTCATTTTTATACTTAAGTGCTCCTTCCATTATGTCTTTTTTTTGGGTAAAACTATGTCTAAATGTATTTTTATTGTTGAAAAAATTCTATTGATACATAATAATTATACATATTTATTGGGTACATGTGATATTTTCATATCTGTATACCTGTGTGATGATCAAATCAGGGTAGTTAGAATATCCATCCTCTCAAACATTTATCATTTCTTTGTGTCGAAAACATCAAATCTCCTCTTCTAACTATTTTGAAATATACAATAAATTACCATTAATTACAGTCACCCTACTTTGCTATTGAACACTAGAACTTATTCTATCTAACTGTGTCTACTTATTAACTAACCTCTCTTCATTCCCCTACCCACTCTTCCCAGTCTCTGGAAAGTATCATTCTACTCTCTTTCTCTTTTATTTTTTTTTGAGATGGAGTCTCACTCTGTTGCCCAGGCTGGAGTGCAGTGTTGCGATCTCGCTCACTGCAAGCTCCACCTCCCGGGTACACAGGATTCTCCTGCCTTAGCCTCCCGAGTAGCTAGGACTACAGGCGCCTGCCACCACACCTGGCTAATTTTGTTTTTGTATTTTTAGTAGAGATGGGGTTTCACCATGTTAGCTGGGATGGTCTTGATCTCCTGACCTCGTGTTCCGCCTGTCCTGGCCTCCCAAAGTGCCTACTCTATATCTTTATGAATTAAACTTTTAAAGTCCCGCACATGATTGAGAATTGTGATATTTGCCTTTCTGTGCCTGACTTTTTCCACTTAACATAATGACCTCCTGTTCCATTCATGTTGTTACAAATGAAAAATCCTCATTATTTTCTATGGCTGAATAGTATTCCATTGTGATGTATACCACATTTTCTTTATCCATTCATCCATTGATTTACACTTAGGTTTATTCCATGTTTTGTCTATTGTGAATAGTGCTGCAATAAACATGAAGGTTCAGGTATCTTTCTAATATACTGATTTCCTTTACTTTGGAAAAATACCAAGCACAAAGATTGCTGGTTTGTATTGTAGTTCTAGTTCTAGTTTTTTGAGAAACCTCCACAATACTTCCTATCAAGGCTGTATGAATTTACATTTCCACTAACAGCGTGTGAGTTGCCTTTTCTCAACATCATTGCCAGTATTTGTTAGTTTTTATGTTGTTTGATAATAGCCATTCTAACTGGGGTGAGATCATATCTCATGGTGGTTTTGATTTAAAAATTTCCAATGATTACTGATGCTGAATATTTTTTCATGTCAGAAAAGACAGCAGGTTGGCAATTTGTATGTCTTCCTTTGAGAGATGTCTATTCAAATCCTTTGCCCACTTTTAAGTGTGATTATTTGTGTGTGTGTGTGTGTGTTTAAACTTTAATTTTAGATTCAGTTGTACCTGTGCAGGTTTGTTATATAGGTAAACTTGAGTCATGGGGGTTTGTTGTACAGATTATTTTGTCACCCATGTACTAATCCTGGCACCCAATAGTTGTTTTTTTCTGATCCTCTCCCTCCTCCTGCCTTCCACCCTCAAGTAGGACTCAGTGTCTGTTATTCCTCTGTATGTGTCTATGTGTTCTCATCCTTTAGCTCCCAGATATGTGGTATTTAGTTTTCTCTTCCTGTGTTAGTTTGCTAAAGATAGTGTCCTCCAGCTCCATCCATTGTCCTGCAAAAAACATGATCTCATTCTTTTTATGGTTGCATAGTATTCCATGGTGTGTATGTGCTGCATTGTCTTTATCTGGTCTACCAATGATGAGCATTTAGGTTGACTTCATGTCTTTGCTGTTGTGAATAGTGCTGCAATGAACATTATACATGCATGAGTCTTTATAATAGAATGATTTATATTCCTTTGGGTATATACCCAGTAATCACATTGCTGGATTGAATGGTAGTTCTATTTTTAGCTTTTTGAGGAATCACCACAGTGTTTTCTACAATGGTTGACCTAATTTACACTCCCACCAACAGTGTTCCTTTTTCTCCACAACCTCACCAGCATTTGTTTTTTTTTTGACTTTTTAATAACCATTCTGATTGGTATGAGATAGTATCTCATTGTAGTTTTGATTTGCATTTCTCAAATAATCAGTGGTATTGAACTTTTTTTTCCATATGCTTGTTGGCTGCATGTATGTCTTCTTTTAAAAAGTGCCTATTCATGTCATTTGCCCACTTTTTAATAGGGTTGTTTGTTTTTTTTCTTGTAAATTTGTTTAGGTTCCTTATAGATACTGGATATTAGACCTTTGTCAGATACATAGTTTGAAAATATTTTCTCCTGTTCTGTAAACTGTTTGTTTACTCTGTTGATTGTTTCTTTTTCTGTGTAGAAGCTCTTCAGTTTAATCAGATCCCATTTGTCAATTTTTGTTTTTGTTGTAATTGATTTTGGAGTCTTCATCATGAAATGTTTGCCAGTTTCTATGTACAGAATGATTATTGCTTAGGTTGTCTTCCAGGGTTTTTACATGTTGAGCTTTACATTTAAGTCTTTAATCAATCTTGACGATTTATGTATATGATGTAAAGAAGGAGTTTCAGCAGGAATGGTAGCAGGTCTTCTTTGTCTATCTGGTAGAATTTGTCTGTGACTCCGTCTGGTCTTGGGTTTTCTCTTTCGGTTAGTTGGCTATTTATTATTGATTCAATTCCAGAACTTGTTATTGGTCTTTTCAGGTAGTTAATTTTTTGCTAGTTCAGTCTTAGGAGATTGTATGTGTTCCAGAATTTATTCATTTCTTCTAGATTTCCTAGCTTGTGTACCTAGAGGTGTTTGTGGTAGTCTCTGATGGTTATTAGAATTTCTGTGGGGTCAGTGTAACATCCCCTTTGTCATTTATAACCTTTACCATTATGTAATGAATGCCCTTCTTTGTCTTTTTTTATCTTTGTCCATTCAAAGTCTGTTTTG